GTCTAATATAAAAGTCACCATTCATTTTAATATTCCTCCAGTTCTTACGCACAGGCAAGCAGACCAATGCAAGTGCGCCTTTGTAAGAGGATTTCATTACAAACTCAAAACCAAAAGGTCATCTATCAACACAACAGGCAGATTATAATAAGTAATTACTTATGTGGGTAATAACTTTAACGTCACTGAACAAAGTGTGTACAACTCAGCAAGATATCAAAACTGAAATACATGTAGAAATGTGGATTTACTAGATTTTGACCATCAGATTATAAATATTTGTTTTTAAGCTTCCAACAGAAGTGCAATAAAACATAATTAAAGCTACATTTGACACATACAATGTCAACAACAACAACAGGTAGTTCTGCTCTGGAGATTGTACCTTTGTGGTCAGTGTCTTGACAGGCTTCAGGTTGAAGTTGTAGTCCAGATGCAGGTAGTTGAGGTTCTTACGATGGATAAGCAGATTGAGCATGTTGTAACCCTGACGACAGACCTGCAGACCGACCTCCACCCAGTCCAGCTTGGTGGACTGGAAGAACTTGGTGGCCTTGAAGGAGCGGAACAGATACCTGAAATACAACAGATGGAAAATCTTTTTTAAAGAAACAATTGATGAGCAAAAACCCTTTCACATAAATATGGGTTAAAAAGGAAATCAAAATAGTTTCCAATGATGCTCACCTCTTCTTCTGGGCTTTGGGTGGTCTGTGTTTGAGAGCATTGAGCACATAGTACTTGAGAAGTTTCTGGTAGGACACACGCACTTTCACTGGCTGTCCTGCAGGGCAGTGCTCACGATACCTGGAGAATAATGGAATAACAACAATTTGTCATCACATATTTTACATCTGAATGAGATGCACAACATTTCCCACAAAGCAAACCCAGCTCTATGCAATCTGCGAGTCATCCTACATTCCTCTCAACATGTTGGTATTTTGCTCACCAGTTCTTGATCAGGGGGATATCAATGGCACGCCTTGTGCGGCCAGATCTGAGGTTGAAGGGTCTCGGTGCCCACAGCAGAGCGATGCCATTGGCTGTGTTGTCTGTGTAGAGTGGGGTCTCCTTGAGGAGGGGCTCCACATACTCTGGAAGCTCAAACTCCTCGTCATCATCAGGCAGAGGTTCCTGACTCTGAAGGTGAAGGACATTTTAAAAAGAAAAGTGAATTCAGGAATCTTTACTTTTAAATAATGAGAAATAATGTCTGAACGATGAAGAGGCCAACTGCTACTGCAGCCAGTCAGATGTAAAGTCACCATTCATTTTAATATTCCTCCAGTTCTTACGCACAGGCAAGCAGACCAATGCAAGTGCGCCTTTGTAAGAGGATTTTGTTCAAAATCTACTTCTCTAATTTCATTGTGAATAAAAGTTATCTTTTTCACAGCTGCCAAATATGGATAATTAGCCACAATTATCCAAACTTACCTTGACAGAGTGTCTGTGGGAAATTGGGTTGATCAGCGGGTCGAAGTAGAACGCTGGGAGATCTGGATCCTCCGTCTTGATGAACACCACGTTGGGTGTATGATACCTGTAAGGGTAAAGTCATCGGTTTTAACTCAATACTGACACTTCATGTTTTATTTATTTATATTAGAGTTACATCGACTATTTGTTTACATCTATAAGAAATAACTCATCCATTCATTTCTTACCAGGTTAGGTGGACATAGTGCGGCAAGTTGTTGTACAAGTAGGGGAAAGCGATTTTGTACTCTGTCCTGATAGGCTGTCGGATGATGATCTTGTTGATGTCATTGAACTCATTCCAGTCTTCATCCCTGCAGAAGACACAGAAGGATAAACTTAGTCACAAATCATATAAAATGATACATAGAACATATATCGTACAAAGTATTTGAACTTAAATAGTCAAATAATTTCAAGAAACATGCGTATTCTAAAAGCAGGATGAAGAAAGTATCAAAAAAAAGTTTTTTACATGAACATGAAAGGTCATGCGAAGTAAGCACAACGTCTGCTAAATAAAAAACAGTATTGAGTCTAAAGATCTTAATTTATTTAAAAAGGCAAGAGGCCCTTACTGAAGGTTGATGTCTCTGACAAGTGGCTCAAACTTCGGTCCTCCAGGGATGGCCATATTCAAGGCCTTGGAAGTGAAGAAGGCCTTGAGGTCAAACAGATAGAAGTAGTTGAAATCCACCAGGTCTGTGAGCAGCTGATTGGCCAGGCGGTACAGGGTGGACATCATAGGCAGTGTGAACTGCCAGCGACGGTAGGTGGTGCCATTCACAAACCTGAAGAGGAAAATAGTGTAATTTCAATTCTGCTGGCTACACATCATCTAAATATGAACTTTAAATGTTTGTCTGTAAAGAATGACATGAGGGCTTACTTGTTTGCGTCTTTGAGGGGTTGGTGATCATAGAGCCACTCTGCAACAGGAGAGTCCTCCTCATTGTCCAGCTCCATCTGGATCGCCTCCAGTGGTTCTACATCAAGGATGTTGTCTGCATAATCCAGCGGCGGCTCCTCATCATCAAATGGAGGAAATCGCATCCGCTTGAAGTGACGACGATCACGCTTCTCACGTCGCATCATGATCCACATAGTGCTGTGAGGAGGATAAATGACAAATTATTAGATATATTTATTATAAACTAAATGTGCACATACATTTAGTTTCATGTCCAACAAAAATGATAACGGAATAGCATCAAGCTTTCACTTACCCCCACTGTGCGATGTAGACCGGCTCTATGACCCAAGGGATTTCATTCACAAAGGAAATAGCTCCGGTAATGTGGTAGAGGACAGGCACGTCTCTGATCTGTTCCCAGGGCATAGGCATGTTTTCCAGCAGCTTCAGCACTGCATGGGGCATGTACTTGAGGGCACTGTTCAAGCAAAACAAACATACATGATAAGCTACGGTAGTGATAAACCTTCCTAACCAATTAACAAATAAAACATGTGCACCAAAAAAATCTGTTTAAGATTATATGTCCATTACTTTCTACATAGAGTACATCTCAAGAAGTTTGTCAGCTAGCAAAGAAAACCTTCTATTTTTAATTGACATGTTGACTGATCTGATTGTTTTCTTTACCCGAGGTACACCCTCTTGTCATGGCGAAACTTTCTGTTGGTCATGTCTCCATGGTCCCTGATGATCTTGCGGACATGCTCAGGTGGCATGTCTTCCTTCTGGGCATCCACAAAGCCAAACTTTCTCTTTTCTGAGTAGCGCTTTGCCTGCAAGTGCTGCCATTTTCTTGCTGTTGAGTGGGAGGACAATGACAACAAAATGAATCACCGCCACTTGTAACATAAACATTGCAGTTTTTAACAAAAATGTAGACTTTCTGTAATAATAGAGAGACAACGTACCTTTCTCCTGCAGCTTTTCCTCAGACATGTAGTCCGGGACAGGTATGGGAGGGGGAACACCCGGTGGCATCCCTCCAGGGACCCCTCTGTAGGGGAAGGTAGCAGCCATGGTGTCTCACACCTGAAAACAAACAGTTTCATCAATAAACATATTCTGATCCTGAATGTGTTGTCCACGTTTATTTGTTATAAATTAAAATGTAATTAATTAATTAAATTAGTAAGATAAACAATGTTCTCCCGTTAAGAGAATGTATCACTCATAAAAGCCAAAGGAATTCAAATTAGCTCCACCTTTACCAGCTGTGATAAAGACTATTGCATCAATAGTTATAATCAAAACATGATATATATAATTCTGAAATTGAAAATCTGAATTGTGATTACTTTCACTAGTAACAGAGTGTTCCTGCTCTCTGGTACTTCTATTTTTACATTAGTACAAGATGTGAGTACTTCTACCACCTCTGATCAGTATAGAGTGGTCCCTGGCTCTGTAACAATATACGCACATTATATAACCCATGCAATATTTGAGAAATCCTTATAGATTGTATTAAATGTAATCTTGACGATGTGAGACAAAAAGGTACTTTTCTTTTGCCACAAATACATATAAAACTATTGCACATAATCTAAAATGCTAACAGTACCATTCAACTAGTAAGCTAGCCGTTAGCTCAACATGGCTTCTAGTACGGAAGAAACTGTAACGTTGTGCACAACTTCAAAATAACGGAAGACTTGACTCATTACTCGATTCGCTGACTTTTACAAATCTAATTGGCTGTTATTTAAAACACAGCTTACACCAAGTTACAGAACAATGAAGTTGGTCATCAAGGCCATGCGTGTCTGAAGCGGTAAGTTAGCCAACACTAGCACACAAGCTAACGACTGTGTGATAAGTAACACAACGAAAATAACACTCACCGCACTACCTGTGGGATTTCTTAGCGTTGCAGACAGCCGTGTTCCACAGACAATCAACTACCACATCATTTCTCTTTCAAAGTTGTATTGTTCCTTTTTCCAGGTGCTCTGTTGTGTTGACTGTCTTTATAAAACACGACGGCGGCCACACGATGGACGCAGTTCAGTGGGATTCACAGTCAATCGTACGCCGGATATACGTTCTTCTTCCCACTTAGCGGCTAGAGATCTACGTCGAAAACTTACGCAAACGTTGGACAAGCGCAATTTTGCAAGTACCCGGATGATCCCGTTTCCGGCGCCCGACTGCCACCTGCAGTGTTGGAGTGAAGCCCACGGGATTTCAAAGGGATTTCAACATCATGTTTACAATACATCATGTATTTTAATCTGTTGGAAAAGTTAATAACACATTCAATTTACACAAAATAATATCATGGATGAAGGAAAACATATGATGTAAGTGGGCTTTCATATTTGTCATTCTATATTTGATTTGGTGGCCTAATTATGAACATTGTATACAAACATAACATTCTAACTATAAAAATGTGTTTAAAATTGGAAGAATAGTTTGAACACTTTTATCTTGCCGCGAAAGTATTTGCTTTATTTTTCTACGTTACTTTTATTGTAGATATTAAAATATTTGGTTTGCTTTTTAGTAATTCACTTTTATTGTGAAATAATAACCGGAAGAGTGTAGCCTCCTGATCATCATTGGAATGGTGGCAGGTCTGACCCACTTAAAACAGTCAAAGGCTAGACCACATGTAAATTGTCATTCATACATAGCGATTGTTTTTCACAAAGACTACACCTACTTCTTCATGTTTGGTACTGCTGTCGGACATAATGTCGGCTTGTGAGGACGTGAGGGAAAACGTAAAGGTACTTTAGTTTGTTTCAGACTTCAGCGCAAAGTTCAGATTTGTTCTGACATTACATAACGGCCTGGTCGTTCAGTCGTGTTTCATTGACACCTCAATGAATATTTTCCTCATGTTCAAAATACTGACCTTCCTTAAACTGTATATTTATTACATTTTTACCCAACTGTTTAGATTTTTCACTCACTCTCAATGGTAATAGTGTTAGTTGTAGCTGACTCATGGACATAATGTATTATTTATTTTCTTAGGAAATAAAAAAATAAATAAAAATGAGCATCATTATATTTACATTCATCTATATGTACCTAGTAACTGCGTAAGTGCCCCCCTGGTACAAGTACCTGATTTGGAAGCATTTCTGTAAAATAATGTATTCAAATGGTAAAGCAGTTGTTAAGTTGTTTACCACAAGCTGACCATTCTATGTGTGCAGAAGTACTATGGCAGTCGACTGGAGTCGTCTGGTGATTTGCAAACAAGCGTAGCCTCCTGCAATTTGTCCTGCCGCCCAGTGCCAAGGAGTGTCACTGATGCCCTGAGCCTGGTTCACCCAGAGGTGACCAAAAGGTATGATGTGCAATTTTGTATCGTCTGTATTTTCAGAAATAACCGGAATATCAAACAACACACACACACACACACACACACACACACACACACACACACACACACACACACACACACACACACACACGAGTACAATCTTAAAATATATTCGGTCCACTGTTATTAACAGTGTGACAGGAATGAACAGTTTTGTAGCAGTAGGCCTACTAGATTACACAGTGACGACATGAGGACAAAACACAGACAGGCTACAAATCAAACATACACTGCTCACTCACACATTTCTTATTGAACCTCTCTAAAAACACATGAGAAAGCATGTTGCAGGAAAAAACATCATCCTTTATTGCACCCTTTGCCACTGTGATTCACGCATCACACATTTTTTATCCTGATTGGCTTCAATTTAGTTGTTAAAAATGACATCCAGAAGAGTGAAACGCTTTCTTTCTGGTCATTCATAGTCTGTTGTCATCCTTTATATCACACACATATCTCTATAGTAATCTTCCCATAAATGCACATGGATTTTGTAGTTATACACTCTTGCCATCAACAACAATGTTTCTCCAGATTCTTCGGTTGTGGCCTTCCCTTTCCAGCGAAGCTTGAGGGCTGCAGAGTCCTGGACCTCGGCAGCGGCTCCGGCAGAGACTGCTACGCCTTCAGTAAACTGGTCGGGCCGAGTGGACATGTGACAGGCGTCGATATGACGGAGGAGCTGGTGATCACACATGCATCTTCACACGATATTTGACACTTGATAATAATAATTCCTTACATTTTATTATAGCGCTTTTTCAATGACTCAAAGCGCTTTACATATACACACATATACATACATGCAATGGTCAGATACTGTGGACAATACCCACAGGAGCAAGTTCAGGTGAAGCTTTACAGACGCAGCAGCGGCGGGTTTCACCCCTTGATCATTGCACAGCGCCACACCGTCCATCTTCACGCCTCGAGGTCATCGAGGCGCTTTTTACAAGTACACATTGGTATTATACATGTACTGTGGACAATACCCACAGGAGCAAATCCAGGTGAAGTGTCTTGCACAAGGACACAACGGCCTGACGCAGTGGCGGCAGGAGCGGGTTTCGAACTGGAGTTCCCCAGCACTCCCCCTTGATCTGATGATCAGATGCACAGACCACTGCGCCACCCGTCCCACGTTGATGTCTGTGCTTTCCATTTAATTGAATTGCATTTCTTTAGATCACAGCGTCCCGTCAGTACATTGAGTATCACCAGAAGAAGTTCAGCCATGAGAAGCCCAACATCACTTTTGTCCAGGGGTACATGGAGAAGCTCAATGAAGCTGGCGTACAGAGTGACTCAATGGATGTTGTGCTGTACGTTTAAAGCCCTTCTTGAGGATCTGTCTGTGACTTTATGGATTGTTACAATAAAACAGCTTTGAGTAGTTGCTAAACAAATCTATTTTTTTCTTTCCAATTCATCCAGATCCAACTGTGTACTCTGTTTGTGTCCTGATAAAAGAGCAGTGCTGCAGCAGGCCTACAATGTCCTAAAGGTTAGTCATGATATTCCAACAACATTGATGTGTAAAAAAAAAAAAAATGGTGTGCACTTGTTATGGTTCTGTTGACTCACTTTAACAGGAGGGGGGTGAAATGTACTATAGTGACATGTATGCCAGCAAAGTCGTTCCTGACCACATGAAGGAAGATGCAGTCCTGTGGGGTAAATTAAATGCATAATTATTAAGAATTCAATGTTAAACAGCAGAATACCTGCACACCTGACACGCAATGTCCTCTGTCTGTGATCTTTGATTCCTGTCCTAGGTGAGGGAATGGGTGGATCTCTGTTTTGGCAAGATCTAATCTCACTGGCACACAGCGTAGGTTTCAGCACTCCCTGCCTTGTTTCAGCCAGCCAGATTGCAATCTACAACTGTGAGCTCAAAGCAAAAGCAGGTAACAATAAAGCAACATTAACCTTTAATGACATGTGGTGATAATTTCACTCTACAATAGAGCCCGCTCTTCATTTTGCAGGTGACATCAGCTATGCTTCAGGCACTTATCGACTCTTTAAGCTGCCCAAAGGGTCGGTCCTGTCTGAGGCAACAGTGACCTACAGAGGAACTGTGGCAGAGTTCCCAGATCAGCTGGACTTTGATTCCTCGCACTGCTTCAAGGTACAGTAAAGGTCCCACATAAGAAGGCCAGACAGTAAAATGATATAACATTTAATCGCTTTATCAATGTTTAACTTTGGCTAGTTCTTCCATTAATAAAATAAGTAGGTCTATATGTGTCGTACTTTCTAATTTCAAAGAAACAAATCCAGTTGTTGGAAAGATTAGGTCAATGTTTTGTTTTGTGCAATTTGCAGAAAGATGTGGCAGTGGAGGTAAATGGTGAGATGGCAGCAATCCTCCAGAGATCTCGTTTCTTTTCGGATTTCAAAATCCAGATTTCAGATCAACCAGAGTCCAGCTCAGCGTCAACACCACAGGTAGGTGATGTTCTGGATAAACTGTGACTGAAATGCTTTAATTTTGAAAGTTTTATTACTGAATGCATGTTGGAAGTAAGAAACGTTGACATACATGTTATATGCAGGAATCAAATTGATCACAGGTTGCATACGTTTAACAGAAACAATAACTCTTTGTAGAAACGACGCAATGAAAGCTTGAAGATTTGTTTCAGTCGCATGTCAAAGTGACCATTAACTTTATTTATGTTTTCCTCAGTACTGCCACCTCAACCCATTCCTGCTGGCTGACAAACTGGGATCCTCTGTGACACAATGCTCCAAAACAAGCAAATAAAGATGAGAATCAAAATACCTTTAGTAGTCCCACAGAGGGGGGGGGGGGACAAATAGCCATCCTTATTTAAAACAGTAATATGTAAGAGTAATCATTTGATGTGTGTCCTCTACTTTCTGTTGTGATGACATTGTTTAGTTGTTTGACAAGATAACACTGTCAAAGTAATATTATAATAATTATGTGTCCAGATACTAAAGAAAAACATTTTGTAATTGTTTTTTTACTTTTCCTATGATTTAACCTATTTGAATAAAGTCAAAGTAAATGTACACAAAAAAAGTCAAATAACAATAAAAGCATAATGACAGTATTTGTGCCCCACTGTACTGCTGTCATTGTGCAACACAAAAGATGAACTTGAACTGACGGGATGATAAGTGGCACTTCGTGCTGTTAGTGGGTGGTTTATAAAATGGTACATTAACTCTCACAACAGCACAAGCAGATGAAGATGATTGTAGAGGAAACTTCTGTGTAGCTATGCAGTGGGAGTCACCGACTCAGGAAGGAGACACGGGAAGAGCAGTAGCTTTGATGTCAAACACATGATGGTTTATTTGGAGTTAACGGCCGGAGGATTCACATCACAAGTCCAAGAGTCAGAGGTTCTGACTTCACGGTAGAGTTGCCACGTCAATTCTGGAGAGCCTCTCTCTTGCCAGCCCATCTAACTGGTTTCGCAGAGAGTAAACAACATATTTGAGAAGATAGCCTAAACAATGTGGGAACACTGAGCTACTTGCCTCGGACACCTATGACCTCGAAGATTTCACCTTGGAGTCCACAAATACAGAGAAGGAAGTGTCCCAGTGTACCCACAACACAGACCATCTGTGACCCAGTATTGACCGGTCACAGAATGGGAATAATAACATTATTGGCTAAGCAGCCTGTGTCCTTAAAGAAGGTAAACAGACATCAAGGTTTGTCCTGTATGTTACATCTTGGCGTCTATGACAATTATTTCCATAACAGTCCTCTCTTTTTATCATTTATGATAACCTAAAAACATTAGTCTAATAATAATTTGGTCAATAATTAACTCAATAGGCGTCTCCAGATTCGAGTGTGGTCTCACCTTACATTAATTACATCACAAAGTAGAATAAGATTGAAACATTCAATCACAATGATTGATACAGCCAATCATAATAGAAAAAATCATCTCTCATCAGTGGTTTGATCATCTTTTGTCAAAAGCATAATAATGAACACACATAAAACACAGGTGCACAATGGCTAAATATTTGTTTTTAAACTAATATATTTTATCATTTACCATTAGTTAATTTCATTCATCAAACTATAAAATCAAAACCAGCTTGCCGCTTTAAAGATTTACTTCAAGGCAATCACTAGTCAAAAGCATTTTAAAACTCAGGATCGTAAGAGATCCAGCTAAACATTCACAGTTAGAGTATATAATTCACACTGGTGATTTGATCAATCTGTAATCTGCAAAAGTGCAGTGTCCTCAATTTTAGGATTACTTTTATGTTTACTTAAATACGCTTTAGTCAAGAGTAAGGCACTTAGTGAAATCAATACATTCATTTTAGTCAAGTACATTGTTCAAAATCTGAAAAGGAAAAGTTAGGCAAATATTCAAAGACGTTTGTAAAAACCTGGAAAGGAAGGATTAAACATTTTTAAACCTTGAATTATTACATTTGTAAATGCTACCACTGATCTGTACCAAATTAAGTCTATCAAGTATTCCTATTAGCCATACTTACCTGAGCTACTTATGGTACTTGGAAAGGATTCTTCTGTGTTTATCTAATGTTGAGAATATCAATTTCTTTAAATTATACTTCTCTAATTTGAGGATCAAATATGCTACATAATTGTTATATGAAATATTATAAATATTTGTTTTGGGCCAAAACTGAAATTAATCCAGTACTTGAAACATCATTGTAGGTCTTTCTATGCATGGATAATACATTAAAGAGTAGTGTTGTTAAGCCTGATTGCTGGATTCAAATCCACTAGAGTGCATGTTCCTATCCAGAGGGGAGCCAGAACTTGATAGAGCTTGTCGCCGCACAACCAAACGTAATCTTGTGGCGAGCTAAACCCCACATCACTGGGCCAGGCCAGTTGTATTGCTCACGGTTGCATTGTCCCAGGCGAGCCGTCATCACGAGGTGGGAATGCTCCATGGGGTGTGTGTGTGTATTCCTTCGGTCGATTTTGTGACACGGACAGTCAGACTCCGCACACCGGTAACACAAACGAGGAACCAGAGAGCATATGGAACCGCTCAGCTGGCACTTGCTTGTGACACCTTGTGTGTAGTGTGTTTTGGTGTATGTAGTGCAAGTGTGGTGCAAGTTGGTGATTAGGACACATCACTTGTTGTCATCTACTTCTGTTGGTGATTAGGACACATCACTTGTTGTCATCTACTTTTGTTGGTGACTAGGACACATCACTTGTTGTCATCTACTTTTGTTGGTGACTAGGACCTTGCAGTGGCTGGCGTGGACCCACGTAGCTCTCTCTCTGACCCTTGGCCTTCAGAGCTGTCCTACTGTAGTTATTGGGTTAACACTTGATAGGGATGTTTTCCTGAGTGCAGACAACTCAAGGTAATGGATTAGCACATTATCATTTAAATACAAAAATAGGATAGGCCCCTCAGAATTATTTGGGAGCCTTCCTGAGACATGCACATGCATAAATGTAAGGTTTGTGTTAGTCATTTAACATGCAAGAATCATAAACTCATCAGTCCAAAGTAGAGAAATGTTATTGTAATTTAAAGGTGAGCTAGTCCCTGCGGATATCACCCCTTCTCAATGATTCTAAATGTTATATTAATTCACCATTTACCGTTTGATAACATATTAGTTTATCAGAAATATTTTCCTCTTCCATAAAACAGGTTTGAGAAATAAATGTTCCAATATAAAATCAATTACTCAATATAATTGACTCTTCCCTCCCTTTTCTTACATATGTCTCATATGAAATAATAACTTAGGAGTCTATTTAAGCATGGTGTAATCTATTACTCGAGAAGACTCAGTATCACCTGTGTGCAGCTTACAAAAAAACAAACAATTGTGAGAAACATATATTATGCAGGAAATGCATACCTTTGTTAAAAAAACAAAGCATATCTGATTTGGGAGGAAAAGCTTCTTCCCCTTAACATCTGAGTCACTACTGATGGCATAGCATAAATGATAGTGAGTGTCTGAGGGTGTTTTTACTGAGAAATGTCAAACACATTCAAAACCTTACATTTGAAAACAGGTTTGCATTCCTTCTCTTAAAATGACGTTATCATTGGAAACAATAAAAGCTAATTGTTTTGATGTAGAATCTATCAATTGAATTGTTAGAGCAGAACAGAATGGTCGTATTGTAGCCTGAGTACCGTGCAGCCTTCAGTTTAACCAGGTGGAAACACTGTCCATATAATGTGAATACATGTAGAACTACACATTAAGAGGCTCCTGACATTAGGCCTATTTTAAAAAATAGTAGGGTCTTTTAACAGCTTGCCAACTTACAGGCATCCTCTGCATAGCAGTATGAATAGCCTTAAAAAAACAACCCACTCTGCGGTAACGAGAGTCATATTTCTGAACCAAATGCCCTAAGTTAAGCCGTTAGTCCCATCTGACTGACCCAAGGGTTGGTGCTGGTGTGACCGGGAGGCTTCCAGGTGTTCAAAGCTTTCAGTTCATGGCTTGGTGGGGGGAGTGGCCCACGTTAGACAGTATTGTTCAGTTTGAGGAGCGGCATTGTCTCTGGAAGCAGGTAATGGTGTCCATTCTCAGACCAGACCATTAATGTCATTTCATGTAGAGCAGCCATAGCATCTCTGTGACTGCACTCAGAACTGTGTCAGAACTGGGTGATTCTTAGTGAAGTCGTCCAAGGCCATAGACAGAATGGAACCACGTACCAACAAAAGGGACACAAGGTCATCAATGTCTCTCTTTACCATTGGCCTAATTGCACAACAAATTAGTGGGATAAATGTGGAGCACTAGTCCATCATCATGTGAAATGTTGAGTTAATCTAAATAATTACTTATGGGTTGAAATCAAATTAACATTAGAACTAAAGTCAGTCAAAATTGGACTTTCCACGGATCCGAATCTAAGCAATACACCATTTCCCCAGCTCTGTAATGAAAAGGATAAGAAGATTAGGTTCTAGTAGAGATTAGAGGACAAGGTCTAATGTTGTGAACAAAATGATCAATTCAAAGTTATTTTGTTTATTGTTATGTACCTAATTTAATTTAATAATTAATCTTGAATTACTAATAACTTTAAAGAAGGCAACAATTTACAATTTGGATGAAGTGATTACTCATCCAAAGTGTGTGTGTGTGTGTGTGTGTGTGCTTATCTGCCCAAGGTTTCAAACATTTGGGACAGCACAGCAGTGAGAATGTTATGAGAACCAATCTGTTGTTTATACTAAACTCGAAGAAAGCTAGACTGGAACATTTTTAAATAAATCAAAACACTTGCACATTAATTAAATACATTTGACATTTAGCTCGAGCTTGGTTCAATACTTTTCTTTATGGTATTTAAAATTGGGCTCGAGTAGAACCCCTGGATTTGGCTTGCAACACAAAGTGATACTGATCTCTGTAGGACTTGGAAGTGTTATGATTCAAAGTGCCTGTGAAAGAGAGGCCCTTGGAAAACAACACCTATTTTGTAACTGTAATTACTTATTTTAAAGAAATTGCAACATTATACTTTTAAAGAATTGCTCAATTAATTTAACACATTTATTATGCACACAATAAAAACTTCAACAAATATATTGATCCTGGCTTAACCAGCGACCTTTACTCTGTTGTTCATAAGCTCGGTTTCAGAAAACTTGTCAGTAGTTTAACAACTATTTTAATGTTAGTATTGTCTATAGAGACCAATTGGTTGATACTAGAAATATTTTCAAGCAGTTTAATAAATAATGTTAAACTATTTTTAAAACTGTAATTGAACTTCAACTTATATTAATTACCTGATTCCAGTGGCCAGTTGGAACAGAATAATTAACACAGTTTCCATTTTGCTGCAACAGCGCAAAAGGTTTCAACAACAATTAGTATTACGTCTGAGTCTAGTTCTGCTTATCTGCTTTGTTTCGGAATGTGTTCAATACATTACGTTTTTATTCATTATTACTATACAATACATAGATTAAGAATAAATGAAACAAATAATACAACATTGACCTAAAACCAGATTTTGCAACCCTGATCTCCTCAGGCAAGTCTCTGAGGGTCTCGGGGCGCAGGACGGGCATAGGGTTTATACAAGGTCACAAAGATATCTTAACATACCAGCAATACCATCTAAGAATGGATTCTTAAAGCAATATAATCTTATTTTCTTCTTACACCTACAGCGCACACCCTGCACAGTGGGCTTCTTGTTTACATGTTCCCCTGCACTCAGAGGCAGGACATAAAAACACTTTTTATTTTTCTCAGGTCATTTACTTTTGGTGAGATAATTAAAGTTTAGTTCATTTTACCCTGTCTATGGACTGATTCATTATTGTTACAAAACATACACAAGACGGCGGGACAAACCAATATAGACCCCCATACAAACAATCAGACAAACAAAACATGAACTCTTAATAAACACCAGCGCGACAGCAAAGCTCATCCAGCTCAATTTAGTCCGGATTTTAGAGATCTTAGAGGGGGTGGGAATTCTCTCCAGTGCGGCGTCTTCTCACGCCTCACCCTTGCATACAAGTGATTTATCGGTGCCTGAAAGCAGTCCAAGAACGATAACTAGCTTATCCTCTTGCGACAACCGCTAGGCTATTTGTTTCTAGTGGCGCTGTGCCCCCCCGATCGGAGCCCACAGACTTTTTCCCTGCCCTTTCTCTCCAAACAACAGCTCAGTTGACTGTAGTCCGTACGACCAGCCGATATACACTTGCTATCGAGTTCACCTCAAGGTGAAACACAGTTTGCCTATGCTTGCTTGCCACTACACACCTCTGATCAATTAGCCTATAATTTTATGTATGCACTCCTGACCGCCACCTGCTCCAGAGAGCCGTAGCGCATCGGGTGATGCACGCACTTCGCGCTGGCCCGTCTAACCATGAGAAAAGCGGTCCTAAACAACGAGTGCTTTTAGACCGTCCCGTTTGAAGGACGGTGGTGCCGTGAGTTAAAGCCTAGACAAAAAACTGTGATTTTCTCCCTCTCAGCCTGCACTGCTCCAGCCCCACACACACGGTGAGGTTTTACACACACACGCAAGGCTGCAGCTGGAGCCGTGTTTTTACAGAGAGGTGATAGCAGTAAATATCTCTGGCTGCTTATTTTCAACTGCTGTGCTTAGCCACTAAGACCCCCAAAATCCGGCGATTTGTCCAATACAAATCTTTTACATTGCTTTCAATTCACACAGAAGCTCCACTTCACTGATGCCCCTTCCTATCTCTAAACATGTATCTCTAAACATGAGCTGTGTATGCTTGTATGGCACTTCCGTCCCGAGCAGCACACACAGAGGAAATCAGCCAGGACTGAGTCCCCAGACACTGATCCCCTGGGTTTATCATCCCCAAATGTTCATTAACCAAAAGGAAACGCAGCCGATCAGTTTCACAGGTAATTTTAGGATACCGTCAATCACAGATTCTGGTAAGGCAATGTCCAAAGTAGATTTGAAAATCACACTTACCAGCTCTGAAGATCTGTTGGCATCCTGCCGACAACGCCAATTTGTAGAGGAAACTTCTGTGTAGCTATGCATAAGGAGTCACCGACTCAGGAAGGAGACACGGGAAGAGCAGTAGCTTTGATGTCAAACACATGATGGTTTATTTGGAGTTAACGGCCGGAGGATTCACATCACAAGTCCAAGAGTCAGAGGTTCTGACTTCACGGTAGAGTTGCCACGTCAATCCTGGAGAGCCTCTCTCTTGCCAGCCCATCTAACTGGTTTCGCAGAGAGTAAACAACATATTTGAGAAGATAGCCTAAACAATGTGGGAATACTGAGCTACTTGCCTCGGACACCTATGACCTCGAAGATTTCACCTTGGAGTCCACAAATACAGAGAAGGAAGTGTCCCAGTGTACCCACAACACAGACCATCTGTGACCCAGTATTGACCGGTCACAGAATGGGAATAATAACATTATTGGCTAAGCAGCCTGTGTCCTTAAAGAAGGTAAACAGACATCAAGGTTTGTCCTGTATGTTACATCTTGGCGTCTATGACAATTATTTCCATAACAATGATTACATGTGTTTTATTCTATCACAATTAAAAAAGCTATGGTTTGAGTATGACAATTGAAATACACTGAATCAGCAAAGGTTAAGCAATCATTTATTATAGTCATTGTGACAAACATTTTCAGGAAGATTATCCCGGACAGAAAACACGGTGAGTATGAAACAGACATCCAACAGATGTGTTTAATACCTGAGCTTTAGTGATGTACCACAAGCGTTCAGATATATTATTATTTTTAAATGAAAGTAAAGATTACACAAAGTGCTTTAACTTTCTTTGAAGTTCAAGTTATATGATAAACAATAAGCTACATCTCTGCTATAAACATTTATTATTGATTCAAGTATTGAAGTGACAACTAAACAGAGGTACTGACAACAAATTAAATAAAAAGGGCTTAATTATCAATATCTCCATTTGCTGAGCAAGTGTTTAAATTGACTTTTGTATTTTAGATCTTAAAATAGTAACTCATGAATATATTGTAACAGACAAATAGAGTGGTGTGTGTGTTTCCATAATGTTTAAGTGGATACAATAGTATGAAATATATGACTACTTGTATTATATTACTTTAACTATACTGAAAAGGAGTTCAAAATTGGGTGCAGAGTTGTATTTCAACTTGAAATAAAAACAGGTAACATTTCTATCTCAAGGAAACTATGCTAGCTCGTTACAAAAACAAGATTATTCAAATTGCACAAAGTACAAAAAGCTTTTCTTGCGGCTCTGATAAGGAGCGGAGGTCTGGTTGGCTTTCATCCCAGTACATGGATCAATCCAATTCGGCACGGTTTCATTGAGAAAGGAAACAAGAAAGAGAAAGGCGACATCAGCGACGTCGCTGCAACGTGTTTCTCCTGGAAACAGCAGGCCTCTGCTTACATCTGCAGCCAGCTCAGGTTATCGGCTCTGAGGACGTGAGAAAAAAAATATTTAGCAAGAAAAGTATCCAGGTTATAAGTGTTGATCTGTGATTTGGTGTATTATATATGTAGAACATGAAGTAACCTAATATGTTATACCCCTATGTATAGTTTACTTGACTTAAATAGACACTTCTGATTCAGCTTCAGGTTTAAGCATCCCCAGAGTCTCTGTACAAGTTGAGAATAATATCTGGCTGCTATTATAAATATACTAAAAACATATTATCAGACGATCAAATTACTATGTTGAAAATGAGACGTGCAACTTGTATTGAACAACCAACAACATTGCAGACTGTTTTGGCATCTTTCAGCCTATTGCTTTGGTTGTATAACCGCCAATACAACTACAGTATATAAGTTTAGGTTCACTCTCATGCATCCTTTTTGTCTTCTCAATTCTTCTCAGTGAAAAGCTCTGAAAATAACACAATTTATATAATCATGTTAACTCCAAGATGATGTCTTTAAATGCCTTGTTCTGTGAGTCTAAAATATTTTTCAATGTTTTACTAAGCAGGAAATCTCCATGTTTAAGAGGTTGAAAACAAATTACTTAAATTAAATGAATTATCAAAACAGTTTTATTTTTCTGTCGATCGACTTATCGATAAATCAACTAGTTGTTGTAGCTGTAGATACAAACATGACTCTAAATGAATGATAATGTTTCTCCATATCTGCTGGATGTGTAAATAAGCAACACTTGCTCACAGGTTTGCTATTATGAACTTAAAAGGTTGATGTGTTCACAGTATGACTCTGCTGCCCCCAAGTGGCCAAAATAAGAACGACATTTACTCTCCGATGACATTATTGCGTCTGCAGAATTCATAATGACTTAATGTATTAAATGTGTATACAGTATTTAAACACATCCAGTTTGTGTAAATGCAGGATGACACTCACTGAGCCTGTGCCTTTGTGAAGACGTGGCCCGTCGCCATCAGCTCAGCAAGACGAGCCACCGCGGGGTCGAACATCAAACTGGCTGCAGCTACCACCTCATCGTCTCTGGTAAAGCACAAATAAAAAAAGTTAAGCAGAAATAGCATACATGTATATTAAGCTGCATCAGAAGCTATTCAACAGCTGCTCACTTGATGTAAAATGCCAGGAACTTCCTCTCTTCCACTTTTCCTTTGAATATGATTTCTGTGTAGCCTTCTCCATAGCCTAGAATGAGGAAATGAAAAGGGTAAATGAGACAGTATTAGGGTTTTGTATGAAGATGTATTATATTTTATATATATTAAAGTATTATGTTGCAGGGGTGATCTTTTCCTCAGTAAATTACTCTACCTGTGTATCGTATACTCTTCCCAAGTAACACAGTCCAGAAGAAAGGAACCGACTCGCATTTGGTTTGTTTCTTCAGCATGTTTAGGGCTGCTACTCTTCCTGAGGGTGAAAAAAAACAATATGTGCATGATAACATAAAAACCATGCATCAAATTATTAAGGATTATAAAAATGATGCCCAATGCAGAACTATTTCAACAGGAAAGTATTGTCAACTTGCAGCACAATATGAATCTGTGATTATCTGAACGTTGGTTTCTTACCTTGAGCTTGTGACATTTGCCAGTGACCGACGTTGACCCTTTGGTCTCCTCGGATGCTCAGAGGGAAAGACGTAACATCTCCAGCGCTAAAAATATCTGGTATATTGGTCCTCATGAACTATTAGAAAAGAGAAAGGAGTTCAAAGCAGCAGCCTGACATTTAGATAGACATGTACAGTACAGGCAATGTGTATAGAACCAATCATCTCATTCAGCAGGACACAATATCAAATATGAATGTTTGCCCAAACAAGCAATTAAAGCTATTAAAAGTCATGTTTATGATTCATTAGTTATGTCAATATTACATTTTGACTGAACCGTTACCTTGTCAACAATCACAGCTTTCCCTGAATTCACTTCCAACTCGCTTCCCAGCAAGAAATCTGAATTTGGGATTACACCTGAAAAACAAAAGGTTTCTTTTAATATAGCCCTAAACTTGATTTATGTTAAAATGTTAATAAAAACACATTTAGTCCAACACTTTAAAATAAAAATAACAATATACCAATTCCAACAATCACCACATCCGCCTCCAGGACTCGACCACTCTTCAGCAGCACCCCCTTCACCTGGAAGAAAATACTCATTAAGGGATCTACAATAGAATATACACTTTTCTTTTGTATCAATAAAAATAGCTTTTTTTTCCCACCTCACCATCGCTGACAATAGATTATATCTAAATGATTGATTATGTAATAAGTGACACCTGAGCTATCTAGCTGCAAGAAAACATGTCTGCCTCTTCTCATTAGAAGTAAAGTTACCTTGCCGTTCTCCCCTTGGATCTCAGTGACTCTCTCGTTCATACAAAACTTTACATTTTGTTCCTCCAACATCTTAAAAGAAGAAACTGTGTTTTAAAGTTTGTTCAGTTGAATTAAGGCTAGTAACATCACATTCAGCAACACTACATCATTATTTTACTGTTTCTTACTTGCATACTCATTTTGCCAATCTCTGGCCCCAGAGATTTTTCGAACGGGTATCTGGAGGGGCCAACCACGGCCACGCTGGCAGCTTTGTCTGATAAGTAGGACGCCACCTCCATACCTATTGTGTGAATAAAAAACATGTCAGCAGCAGTCTGAAATACTGGTGTGACTCCATGTGTTGTAAAGTAGATTTCTCTTGCTCTAGTAAATATTGACATAGCAGATTTAATATCGAGCAAGTTGGCCGTGCACAAGGTTAATAATTATTGAATGTTATAAAGCACGTAAAGAGAAATAGAATCTGGTAACCTATGAAGGAGGCTCCGATTACGACAGCTTTCTGGCCCAGACAGGCGTTGTGAATCTCTTTGGCGTCTTCATATCTCTGCAGTAACGTCACACCCTTCAGGTCCCATCCAGGACAGTCGAGCGGCCGCGCTCTATGAACAAAACAAAGACTCGGAAGTCACCATTTCCTTATGTGTCCAGCTAATTATGAAACCTGAGTGTGACAAAACAACAACTGGGGGATGAAAAACAATCCTCTGTTTGAGGAACTGGATGTTGATTCTCACCTACAGCCAGTTGAGATGAGGAGTTGGTCGTAGTGCTGCAAAGTGCCGTCGCTCAACTTCACCGCCTTATCAGCCGTATCCACCGACACCGCCTGCAACACAAAACATTTTCTTAACAAGAGAATCCGTTTCCAATTTAGATGGCGATAACAAATCAACGTTTCTCACCTCCTTCTGTGTCCACACTTCAATCCCATACTGCTGATAGAAGTCACTCGGTCGGAGGAGGATGCTGCTGCTGTCCACATTCATAGCCTGAAAGAGAAAGGCCATTTCTGTTAAAAACTCCTAACTAGATACAAGTTGTCAACAAAAACTGACAGAAGTATCTACGTAACCTCTCCTCTCTGATTGAGTGCTCACCTTACTCAGTTTGGGCTTGTCAAATGGAGGTATGGTGTCTTTGGTTACCATAATGATTCGACCCTGGTAACAGTTCTGTCGTAGAGTTTCAGCACAAACCAGGGAGGCAGGGCCTGAAGTAACACAATCTTTATTCAGTGTGTAATTCTTTAGAGGTTACAGAGAAGGAGCTTATGGCAGCACTAAACCAAGACATTGACTTGAGCACTAGTCTCTTTTACAATCCTACTAGTAATGATTTGTGAGCCCCCCAAACATTTATTTATTATTCACTACTTGTTTTTATGCCTTACCTCCTCCTATGAGCAGAATAGTGTGTTTGATGCCCGGCACCATGCTGCACATCTCCTTCACCCTTTTCGTCAACTTCAGAGACTAAGGGACAGAAAAAAGTCATAGATGATTACAAAAAAAGTATTTAAACACAAAAGGAAAGGAAGCCTCGTAATATCTATTTAACTTGCCATTACTTACATTTTTGTTGATGGAAACATACACCTTGCCATCCTCAACTTTTACCTTTGAAACAAAAAAAGACAGAGTTTTAGGTACAGCTTGACTTTCTTTATCACAAGTGTAGATCATAGCACAGTGGGCATTTGTCTTAAAAAACATAATCCTGTGTCGGGGATAATGATTATCGGCAGGTATTGAAAACAATAGTAACATCTGGTGATGAAGAAAATCTGGAATAAGTCATGTTTCCGCTTTCCTGGCAGCATTTTCATTAAAAGACCATGTGCTCAACATTGTGTTTAACATGAATGTGCATACATAATCATGCATGCAATGTGTGATAATAGCTGACAAACAGTCCACTGTTTGGGAAATACTCAGTGGGTGTCGACCTGCTGAGCAACTGAGAAATCAAATCTAATCTCTCATCTTTGTGTCTTCTCTACTCAGAGTGAAGGGACTAGATCAGAGGTGTCCAAACTACATTTTGAATCGGCCCGCAGCTAATTCAAAAAGTATAATGAAATGAAACTTGTTCTTGTCTTATATTGTACTTCTCAAATATATATGTAAACATATATTACACAGTAGTATTCATGAGTTAATAAGCCAAATGTTTCAAATACATTCAGTCAATTAAAGTTGAAAACTATTTCTAACAAATCTAAGTTGATAAGAAAAAAGCCTAGTGACTTATTTACATAACAAGTTTGAAATATACCCTTCCTATTTCCTCTTATTGTAATCAATCTGAGGCTCCTGTTTTAAGGAATGAGCTGCTAACAAGATAAATGAAGCCCTATAGAGAGCTGAGATGTAGGCTGTTGGTTTTCATAAAGCATATTCAACTAACAAGCATAATTGACCTACATTTGATTGATTTTGCTGACTTATAACTTGACTTATGAGGCAATATACCTCACCTCTATAAGTGGCCCAGCCCCTCGTATATTTGTATGCATGTGGCCCTCTGTGAAAAAAGTTTGGACACCCCTGGACTAGATCAGTGTTTCTCAAACTTTTTCATACCAAGGACCACTTAACCAATAAAAAAACACTCGCGGACCACCTAACTCCACAAATATCCCAAAACACATCGTTTTTCTAGAACAGATTATAAATCGCCTGAAAATGGTACAAACAAGTGGCAACATGTGTGACGAAGGTGTTGCCCTGGGCTTTATCATGCAATATAAAGTGAAACTTAAGCTCGTTCCATTGGGGAGATATTCCCGCAAGAGTGCGGAAAACTTAAATTTATTTATTTATTTCAAATGTGAAATGTTACCAATATACTCACGGACCACTAGGGGGCGCTAACGGACCACCAGTGGTCCGCGGACCACACTTTGAGACGCACTGCTAGATGCTTTGTTTTTAAAATATCCATATTGTTAAATGGTAGTTTTTGTAGTAGTTACATGAAAATAATGTTCAAGTAAATCATCAGAAATTGGATTTTTTTAAACTGTAAATTATTAATAAAGCTGAAACCCTACCAACACATTTACCTTATAACTGGGCAGAGAGTCCAGACCTGGATACTCTTCGATATCTCCGGTTCTGACATTAAAGCAAGCACCATGAAACGGACATCTCACTCGGTCACCAACCAGTGCTCCTGGATCATCAGAGAACATGCAATTGTCATTTCTTAAATTCAATGCAAAACATTTCCTAAATCAACTAAGGGTAAAAGGGATTGAATGTTTACCTTTGATGAGAGGAGCATTGTAATGAGAGCACCGGCTTCCAACAGCACTGTACTGACCCTGAGTCCGGACCAGCAGCACCTCCTGATCCCCCACTTTCACCTCCTTCATCCTTTAAAACACAAAAGATGGAAGATGGGAAACAGTTCAGAACAATCTGATAGTGGTGTTATATCTAAAAACTGATATTTTTTCAGGAAGAAAAAGCGAATGACTTACTGTCCATCTTTGAGGTCAGCCTCCTGACAAACCAGCCCCGTCACCACATCCTGATCTGCTTCTTCACCTGGTTCTTGGCCGTGACTCATTCCTGCAACACCCAGGACTATAAGGATCCTGGCTTTGCCTTTGGGTGTATACCATAAGCCACTCATACAAAAGGTTGCATAGTAGTCTGACATTTGCACAAATTTTTTTTCAGTAACCACAAAACAAAGGCATTCAAACATGTATATGTATTTAGTCCCACAAAGAAAATATGTAAGGAATAAGGATCAACAACAACGAAGGAGCCAATAGTGCCATAAAGAGGCTTCCATAGATTCATATATGGTTATTTTGGCCCATTAAAATAAAGAGTAACAAGTAACAATGACATATTGTTCCTTAAAGGTAAAGTAATCTCAATAAACTCTTCAGCGCCTACTGTGTCCCCTTTACTAAACATGCTCATACATGCCAACCTTTCCAAATCCAAAATAGGTAGGTTTGCACGCGGCAAATGTACACGCCCAAATTAGGTAATCAGAAGAAATGGAACCCCAATAATTACATGTAGGCTATAAACCGTGTATTTAACATATATTGCATCATTTTATGCATTTTTCAGAAAAAGTGGTAGTTTGGTAAACAGTGACATTAACGACATGTTTGGTCTGTAAAATGCCCGAAAAGTGAAAGAATGGGAGATAAATATCCCCAAAAAGGACAAACACAAACAGTAATAGTAAACGTATGATAAACAACTAACACGTTCATACTCACACTGCAGTATGCCTTTTATTCATGTCTGTACCTGCTATGTTTATTTATTTATTTCATTATCTTTGCTTTTTTATGCCTGTTTTTATATGCCATTTAATAATGTGTTATGCTGTATTTATTCTTAAGTGTCTTTTATCGCATCGCACATACCTCTTAATTTATGTCCCTCATTCAACTACATTAACCACTGAAACGTGAAACCTCCATGAAGATGTACTCACCTGTTTTCTTCGATCTGACGCCAGTGAGAGAAGATACAATTAGCTTCAAACTGTTCCACGGCAGTGTTACGTGGGTCATTCAATAGGAGAACTGCCCGCGTGACATCTAGCCGGAGTCATGTGATCCCCGCGAGCTCCTCCCACAACAAACCCTAACAGAGAGGGATCACACCGAAGAGTATACCAAATCCATTCAGAGGAAAACAATTATACCCCTTTTATTTTAACTGTTAATTAATACACAAGAATGTTTTTGGATTGGTGTACATTTTTAAAAAAAAAAATGAAAGTGATGTACATCATATAACAATACGTTTAAGGACAACTGCATATTTGTAAGAGAAATGGACAGGAAGGAACCAAGCCAATTTTGTCTAAGCGTTGTAAATGAAAAACCATATAAGCTTGGGCCTTAACTTTATGAAACTTATAATGTGACACGTATAACTAGTGATGGCGAGATAAAGCCTTATGAAGCTTTAGCTTTCCAGCCAATTGGTTCTCAAAAGGGTTCATCTCATGAGGCTTCATCTGAACCCCCCTGTTGGTCAAAGTGTGTTAAACAGGCAGACATCTCAACAGTTTGATCTTTCTGTGAGTTCCCAATGAGTTAGAATAACTCTAAACAATGAGCATGAAATCCTATTTTCATGTAATACATTTGTCTGAATATTATACCTGCCCAGTTACTCGAATTAGTATTGCAGTAATCAAATTAGTAATCTAATAATGTGTGTTCTGTTTTATTCTCAACTTTAATTTTGTGTCTATTCATTCCTTATACTCCCATGTTTTATATAAACAGTCTATGTATTCAACACATGAACATTACTACGTTATAGTACGGCACAGGATAGAGGTTTTTTCTTGACAGAATGTGTATCCCAATCCCGCAACCATCAGATAATATTGGCCCTTTGAATTTCCATTTAGGCTACAGGCTTTATTATGACCAAACACACATTCAAATGCTGACATAAGAATGACTTGACAATGATGTCAGCTGAGTGGAATAGTGTTATTTAATTGACCTTTAAGCGGACGGTGGCGCTGTGGTACCAAATATTTCAAGAGTCATTCACGTTCATGGCTTTAGATTGAACGGTGTACCGTCACACATTATGATATTATACAATACTGTATGATAGGTGTTCTGCTGATTTAAAGTAGCATGTCCTGCTATATATTTTTTATTTTCAGGTATAATAAACTACTATTCCCACAAACCCACGGTGGTTTGTGAATGGTAGAGGTGGGTTAGAAGCATGTTGCCTTCAAGTGCTCTCCGTTCAATGCAGCTTTCTTAGTCCTATCCTAATTTGTAGTGCATTGTGGTATGTCTGCAAGACATAAACATCGTAACGAAACCATGGTAGCTGTTTTTTTTATTCAAGCTCAAAGTTAAAAGTGCTAAAATAAAACAATAATTGACTATATATCTTTTTTTTTTATGAGCAAGCTGCATTGTCCACTAACAAGTCTATTTTGTGTTTTTGGACATCATTTCGAAAATTATAATCAAATTAAATCAAAGGGAGGATAAGGCTTAAAATATCAACAGGTATTTCAGGCTTTTAAACTGAAGGGGACTTCATCACTGATCCCAGCCCTGCTGCAGTCAAGGCTAACCCGTTTTAGGAAAGGAGTGTCTTCACCAGGGCTGGGTATCTTCTGGCTTGATTTGAAATATTCTAAAAAACGTTGTGACCTTACAATGCCTTTACAATACAAGCAGCTGTACAGTAAGTAACCATTCCAAAATCAATATATTAGGATAACTTAACATGTATTTATTTGTACCTTAATTTTATTAGGAAGTCCCATTAGGATAAAAAAAACAACACAACAACTTGTAGGCCTACTTGATTAAATAAACGTTTGAAAATCCCCTTTTCAATAAGTGGCACATTATTGACAAAATTGTGCCGGTCTTCTACTTCTACAACGGATTTATTTTCACTATTTCTTATAGTTAATTTGATCAGAATCAGAATGTTTTTTTACTGCCAAGTATATTAATTGAAATTAAATCAATATCATAAATAAGGAATAGAAAACAATTACAATACAACAATAAAAAGTATACTATGAAGAATACTATTCATTAACATTGGTCAAATATAACTCTTTTCCATCTCTATTTCGAACCGATTAAAAACAAATACAATTTTTTTTAACAGAATACCGTATTGGTAGAACACAGTCTTTTATTTTATTTTTATAAATTGTCAAACAATATTTATATATTTAACAAAAATACTTGAAAAGGAAGAGGAAGCAAATACTTATTAATTCCCAACCCTGACTCAAGTTATTCTTTTCTAGTCTAATTGTTTGCATGTAATCATGGTTATGCAAGAAAACACCAAGACAGGTTGCTTTAATGTTCACCCAACAAAAAACAGATGAACGGATTTTCGACAGCACCTGAAGGTAACACAACACACAGAACGTGCTCTCGGCCGCGCCCCTTTGTAGTAGGGCGGGGAAGTCCTTTCTGTTGATGTCAAAAGTTACACAAGCAGGGATGAGGTTTTACAACAAAACTGTTTCACAACTGTACACCCGGCTTCACACTGACGTTCCCCACCCACCTCCACCGGGCACACCGGTGGCTGCACATCTCTCTTTGTTAGGACTATCACCGAAAACACATCACAAACATACGTCCACAGACTCGTCCACGCTTTCTTTCTCTGGACAAAAACCGTGGAAGAAACACGTTTTTTTTTAGTCAGTGAGGTATTGGAATTGGAAATAGCCTGGTCTGATTGTCTCGTCTTTTTTCTGGCTGGACAACAAGACGCGCACGTTGATACCACTCACATTGGGGACAATCGTTGCATTTTAAGTCTTCATTCAACAAACCTTTGAGCTATGGAGTTGAGTTCAGTGATCCTAACCACCGGGGTCTCGGTCGGGTTTTTTAGGCTGGTCAATGCTGGTGTCAGTAAACTGCCCATGCCTGAGTCTGCCTGCAGGAATGCATGGAAATGGAGAAACATCTCTACATCCTTCGTGCACAGCTTTATCACTGCGATATGGGCGGTGTTATGGTGAGTAAAATCCCACTAAACTGTTTTGTTTACATAAGGTGCTGACTGGGAGAAAAGGGTTACATATCATGCGAGCATGGTTTCATAAACGGATGCTGGACTTTTGCGCGGTTGTTTTCAAAATGTGCCTTTTAGCCTTCATTTAAGGTTGTTTGATTAGTAAAGATTTATATTATTCATTATTAACCTTTATTTTTGCCATGCCAGCATGCGAGACCCTTAATGGACTTTTTGTTCCCATTTGTCCTGGATTTGTTGATTAGGCTACACATAGTTTTACATAATAATAATGAGTTAATAATGTTTACTTCTGCAGACCACCGAGACGCTTCCAATAAAAAAAAATCCTCTACCAATAACTATTGATATGAAGTTGGCTCATGAATAGTAAAAACATCACTCTCACATCAAGTTTCTTTGCACTTGTGTTCGTCTTTTCAGCTTTTTCCGCCACCCACAGATGGCCGAAGATTTGATAGAAACTCACTCTGTGTTTTCTCACGCCTTGGTGTCGTTATCGATCGGTAAGTAGACTGTCAGCACAATGTTCATATAAATACAAACAGTTGATTTGTTTATCACCTTTTACAAAATAAATGAAACACAATATACACATAACATCAGTATAACAAAGCATTGATTCATGGACAATATTATGGAAAATTAAATCTGCTTGATAAAATACGTTTTATAAAAAATAACACGTGTCTGAATGGGCTTGTGTTGGTGAAGAGAAGGCTCAGATGTAGTGCACCCATGGGTGCTGTTGCCACCATAAGGGGAAATAAGGAAGTGACTTTATCCATGCCTGGCAGTCTCCTTCCCCACACGGTGTCAGTGGAAGTTATAGGTCCAAAAGCATGTGAATCATTATTTTAACTGACTAGAACAAGTGTTCACCTGGCAATTCATTATTATTTTAATCAGTTGGAAAAGTGCAGCAACACGTTTCAAAATTGAGACTTGTTACACCTCAGTTTTTTGAAATGTGCTCTGACTATTGTCAGCACATATAGGCAGTTCATTGTTTCTACATTTCACTGACATTGTAAATATTAACTTGTTGCTGTTTACTGGTCTTTGTTTACTAAAGTCAAACTTTTCTCACAACTAAGCCATTAGAGATGGAGATGATTGTTTCTGGTCTGTGATTCAGGTTGTGTGTGTACCCTCCCTTTAACTGGACTTTGAACCCATCTACACTTTCTTTTTGCTTGACTAAAGCTCATTTGTCTTGGTTGTGAACTAAATATATACACACAATTAGAAACTCTTGCTTGATTGGATTTTGCTTAATATCATAAAGATGTATTACACTTAAGTGTGCATGCAACCTCACATCTTTTAAAATAGATATTCATCCTGCCTTTACCGTTTCTCATGAACCCTTAAAGTATTCAAAAACATTTCTTGGCACGTGGGTCCTCTTAAATCCAGACATTTATTGGAAGTGTGCCGGTCAACAAGAGCTCCCCGAGGATTCCCAGGATGTTTGACATTCTTTCAGGAAGCCCAGCCCTGGAAGCTGGCAAAGCAAGGGACAGTGTTAATGTGTGAAGATCAATGGAGGGCATTATTATCAGTCCTAGTTGGCACCAGGCGTAACCCCGTACAGTCACGTGACCTCACTTGTAACTTGGGCAAAAAGTCAGTTGATTTATGCGGGTGGTGCTTGTCAGATGCCAGTGGTTACAGAAAGGGGAGTCATTCATGGAAAACAAGTAGAGTTTTTCTCCCGGCCCTCCCACTGGAGATGTGGTGTGATTCTGAGGCCTCAGCAAGTTGTAGTGAGGAGTTTTGTTCTCCGGATTTGTGCATTCGGCCTGTTCTCGCTGGGATACCACGCTGATAACCTTGCAACGACATGCCATAAATGATTCTCCACTTGGTGAATGAAGACCTTGTTCAATGCTGAGAACAATGTCTTGCACAGCCCAGAAGTGTGTGATCCTTTTGTCAAGGGGCTTTAATACTCACCATATTCCCTGTGTTGCTTTGTATAACAACGTTAGAGATAGATACTCGTTAAATGGTGGTGTTTCACCCATAGACTATAAAAGTAAGTTACTTTTAATACTAAGAGTTCAACCAAAACCTTTTTTTCTTTGCTGTAGAGGAATCTGTCTATTCAGGTTACAGTCAGAGAAGTGACAATATTCACATTTTAGAAGCTTGAATTAAAATGATCTTGAGTTTTTTCTTTCTTTGAAATTATTCAAACAGATTAATTGATTATGAACTTATGTGGCAATTTATTTAATAAAGTTGAAACTAATTGATATCTCTTTGCAGCTTTATCTAATATCAAATACAGAAAATAAGATAATCATAGTCATTATTTTTCCATGGGCACATTTAGTTGATATAGTATAAACAAGTATTCACAATGAATGATGCATCATGCTTCTAAAGTCAAGTTCACACAGACTGGTGGGAAAAGGCCACATTGATGAGATGTTTACATGCTCCAGGCTGCAGTTACTCCAGGATCAGGCTTAACCAGGTTAAGGTTAAGGTTGTGTTGCATGAGCCTGAAACCCGGTGGTTGTCTAACTGGTTTAATGTAAACATGCCAATGGCTGTCACCCTAGGATCTCGAATGAAAAAACCCTGAATCTAATGCTTTGGATGATGTAACCGTCTTTTCTTACTGTTCATGCTTTGCTTGTTAGCCAAGGGAAAATCAATCAAAATCAAGTAGCTTCCAATTCTTTTGTTCTCTGTGTAGACATTAACTGTGCATTGGCATCATGCCTGGGTTGAACATAAAGAGTAATACTATTCTTAAAAACAAAGTGATTCTTTGTTTCACCTTTATGTTTAAATACAAAGTATTGTACTGTATAATACAGTAATGAATTATTCCATATTAAAACACATCGGCAAAGAAGTGTACGTTTATTGGCTCTTTAATTTAACAAGTCACATGCTGCTCTAATTGACTGTTTATAGCTAAACTTGACCCGAACATGAACTCTTGTAAATAACAAGCTATTAAAAAGAGACATCGGCGTGGAGTTCCCTCCAATATCTTTAGACAATATTTCGTCCTGAGGCTGAAAGCAAGTACATTTATGTATGGTGAGACAATCCAAACATGTCAAAAGGGTATTGGTGTCAAATTTCCAATACAATGAGCTTAAATCCAGTCCCACCAAAGCCCCCTCTCACCCCTTCATCCCCTTCATCATTGTTCAGCATTGTGAATAGCTGTAACCATGGATACGGCTGGTGGTGGGGAAGGAGTGGATATGAATAGCCTCTTTCCAAGATGCACCGTGGTTGTCGTCATGGAAGCAGGGTGGCCCCCCCCAATGACTCGATATGCTCGAGGCTTCTTTAGTTAAATGAATCATGCTGTTTGATAAATGAATTGCTAAACTTAAAGATTGTCATTAACATCGGCTAAATGCTCTCTTTCCCAACAGGCTACTTCATCTGTGACTTCCTTGACATGGTGTTGAACCAGAAGCTGAATCAGTCCTGGGAGATTCTCTTTCACCACATTGTGGTAGGTCTTTCAAGCATTACTGTCACAGATCAAAACTAGAACTAGAACCAGAACCTCCACGAGGCCAAATTTCCCATTTTGTGATTCAGATCTACTCAAAAATGTTATGGGTTCTCCCTTGGCCCATGCTAGACCCTTCCTCCAAGATTCATGAGAATCTAGCAAGTAGTTTTGATGCTGACAAACAAACAAACCTAACCAATGTTTCACCTTGACCATCACTGACAGCAGACCAAACTTAACTTTTGCATCTCTGTGTACTTTGACTTAATTCTCCTTTGTATTCAATGCACGGTACTCACTGCATAGTTAAATTAAGCGGCAAACCCCCAACACACCTGTCGGAAGCACATGCATGGAAAAGAGAAAATACCCGTCTTTCTTGTTAAGTGACAAGGACAAGTGAGGGAGGAACAAAGAGACGATTTTTCCGGTGTGACAGCCCCCACGCCAAGCATTCAACCCTCTGTCATGCTTTGAGAAAGATGAACTCCACCCTTATTTCTTAGTGTTTTGCCATCCACTTAACCACAGTTACTAGGAAATTCCCATTAGACCCGTCTTCTTCATAACATGAGGACCCTCAGCAGGCTAGTCTGTTGGGAGTTCATTCCCTCAGGGTCAGATCAGTAAACCCTTCCCCCATTCCTGCCTTTGAACATCAGGGAAAACAATCTGAAGTGAACATAGAACCACATCCAGAGTGAATATTTTCTTTCTCTGCATATGGATGATTGACCTACATCCAACACAATGCTGATGTTTAGATTGCCTTCTGTTGCTATGCTCTCGTCTTGTTATTGTAATATATTGCTTTTCTCTTGAGAGCTGTTTATTTAAACTTTTATTGGAAGAGTTTCAAACAGGATCGAAACTCTTGCAGCCACAATTTATGCTTGTGTTTTGATGTTAATGTAAGCATGTTTTCAACACCAAGTTTGTGGAATTATTTTATGGCAGAATTAGGATAAAGAAGTATGTGGCTCATCAAGTTCCAGATGCTTAAAACATTGGTAAAACGGCTTACTTATTATACTGACGTACAGTTTATATAAATGCAAACTGATAGATAAAACTCAAGAGCAACATCTAGGCCAGGGGTGCCCAACCAGTCGATCGCGATCGACCGGTCGATCGCGGGGAGATTCCCAGTCGATCGCGAGATGTGTCTAAAAATAGAACAACAATATTCTGTTTTATCGTTAAATTAATGTTCTGTAACATAATCTTCCTGTGCCAGAATAATGCACTTGAACGCATCAAAGCTTTGTGATTGGCCGGCATGACCCCATGTGTGGCTGGCCGGCGTGGCTGGTGAGCAGTGGGCAGTGTGCACTAGTTCGCTAACGTTGTTCGTGTCAACAGGAGTGACAGTCCGCACACACACAAGACCGCAATTATGGCAGAAGCAAAACATATATAATTCTCACTCCGAGTGGGAGGATGATTATTTTTGTATCTATTCCAATTCAAAGTCCATCTGTCTCATCTGCAATGCGAGCGTGGCTTTATCGAAGAAGGGTAATTTAGGAGCGGCATTTCAAAACAGTGCACAAACGCTACGAGACGGAATTCCCTCCTAATTCTGCCCTACGCTCCCAAAAGGGGAGGGGCCTGAAATGACAGCTAAATGCACAGCAGTCCATTTTCACCAGGCCCAACAACAAGAGCAAGGCTGCTACCATAGGCATAGCATCTTAACGTGTCAGTCACGTTCTTGCGTAACACATGAAGTCTTTCAAAGACGGCAAAGTTGTGAAAGAAGCATTCATGGAGGCTGCCGATGAGCTTTTTGGGGACAGTAAAAATAACAGTAGCATTTCAACAGGTTTTTGATATAATAAAAACTCAAGTTAGATACCGTTATTAATCTGCTGTAAGTTTTAGTTTGTTTGAACTTATTCATTATAATTATTGTACAAAACTTAAATTGATTATAGTCTATTATCAATTCAGGTTAAGAAACTAGTGTTGCTTGCATCCTATTTTAAAAAGGCATTTCTTTTTATACTCTACTAAAATGCAACAAAAAAAGGGTTTGATTCTATTCATTTTGTCTTTTTTATTGCACTTTGGCAGCAGATTCCTGTGTAGCTTCAGATCTGAGTTGTCTTATTAGGAAGCCTCATTTATACTTTTGTAGCAACACTATTTTTATATAATGGCAAAGAAAGGGTTCAGAGTCTTTTCTTTTTTCCCTGTGTCATATGTGGCAGCACTGTTCAATGCTTCTTGAAAACATTACCCACTGTAGTATGTGACGTGTGAATAAACTCCAACTCTGTATCAACAACACTGTTGTGTAACTTCAGTTAAATACTTGTATGTGTGTAGATTAGAAAGAGGTAAGATAAAGGATCTGCAGTATTTTATGAAGTATTAATCGTACAAAGGTCAGTTTTATACAAGTAGAAGTGTGTATTTACCTGGTAGTAGGCTGTCAGTAATGGCTACGCCTCTCTATTTGGACTGGTAGATCTCGGCAGACTGGCAACTTTAAAAGTAGCTCTCGGTTCAAAAAAGGTTGGGCACCCCTGATCTAGGCCTTGCAATACTCTCTGATAGATATTTTCAACGCAGATTTACATATTAAACCACTTGTTGTGTTAATGGGAACCCTTCTTTGAAAACACACAAACATTGAGGCTGATCCTATGCCTGAAAACAAGCTAAACATGTCATGAACTGATGCACCGTTTTAGTGGTTTTGGTAGTTTTGGTGGTCTAAAAGTGGTTTCATAAGATCTGATTTCTTTGCAACAAAAACACCGCATTGACAAATAAAAAATACATTATTTGCGCTTTAGCACATAAAATAAAGTTAGTTATTGTTTACAAGATTTTTGCAAAGCTCACTATTTCATCAAGCACATGAAGTACACATACGAGTTCTGTACGTGATACAATAGATTTACCGAACTGTTTCATTCCACTTATCGCACCAAGTGTGTACAAAAATGTACTACATCTTTATCTCTGGTGCTGTTCTGGAGTTCCTGGTCTTTTTGTACATTGTACATTCTTGCGTATGTTGTGCTGTTTACTGGTAAACTTTCCATTTTTGATTGATTGGCTTTAAATAACTTGTTTACAAGTAAAACGTTGGCCACCTTGATGGACCGCCAAATTAAGTTTTCATTGTTGGGAGACAATTCAGAGCTTGCAATGAACATGATGAAGATAATAATTGTAGCCTGTGAGTGTCACGAGGCGTCCTTTTTGTTTCTAAATAATGTTTAAGGTACACCTTATCACTTTTTGCTGAGTGGCAACAAGTGTTTCACTGGTGAAAACGCCACGAGTCACTCAGAATTAGTTGTGGAAACCAACTCACAAACCACCCAGTTGTTGGTGGCACTAACAGAATAGATAGTTGTATTGTCTTTTTTTCTGAAATCTTGTTTTTTTTTTCCTCTTTCACTTCCTGTAAGCCTACTGAATGGATGCTTTGGTCTGGCCAGCTGGTCTCCGAATTGTAGAGTGTGGGATAGACAGACACTTCTTCTTCACGACATGGCTTTCTGTGTTTCTTAGCGAGCTGACTCTCTTTCCCTATACTCTCTTTTTTTCCCTTCTGTACCAATGGTTGCTACTGGATTTTTACATAGCTTTCTAAAATGTCAACCAAGTCAGGGCTTAAATGCTGCAAATGTAAGTGTGCTGGTCATCTTGAGAGGTTAATCTCTAGTTAATCTCCCCCTTGTTTCAGCCGCACACTCATCTCACCCTTGAATCCCATTTCCTTACAATATAAGAGAACAATCTACCTTTTGCCTGCACACATGACACTGACATATACAAACTAAAAATGTAAAGGTTGGGATGTAATTGAAGAGAAACAATCCCTCTGAGGCACAATAAAACAATAAATGGAGATGAATTGATTCACTTAAGTACAGTACAACTGTATAATAATGTGTTCTTACTGCGCAAACATCACGTATACCATGCTGCATGTAAAGCTTTTATGTGTGACTGAACAAACAAGGTGGTTCATAAGAGGGACACATCTAGAAGGAACAGGAGGTGTGTCGTCAGTGGAACATTTTTAACACCGTGTCAACAATTGATAACAAATTGTGTTTTATTATTGTATGCTGAGGCACAAGGTGACAGATGTGAACCATAAAACAACAATACAGACAATTGATGACTTGAAGACTAAATAATAAGGTGTTATTAATCTTCAAGTGTAAAAATAAGGTTACATTTCACAGTTGTTGTTACACCGGTCAGGCATTTTTGTAAATCTTAGTGGCAGTTGCCCAGAGGATCATCGGTGCCTCGCTCCCCTCACTACAGGACATATACAACACCCGCCTCACCCGCAAAGCACTCAGCATTGTGGGTGACTCCACCCACCCCTCCAACAGCCTCTTCAGCCTCCTGCCTTCAGAAAGAAGGTTCCGCAGCCTCAGCTCAGGCACCAACAGGCTGGGGAACAGCTTCCTCCACCAGGCGGTCAGGATGCTGAAATCTCTCCCCTCCCTACCTCCCTCTCTCCCCCCCTCTGACATCTCTCTCCTGAACTCTCCACCCTGCCTCCGACCTTTCTCCCCTGCCCCAAATGGTCCTGGACTCTAACACACACACACACACACACACACACACACACACACACACACACACACACACACACACACACACACACACACACACACACACACACACACACACACACACACACACACACACACACACACACACACACACACACACACACACACACACACACACACACACACACACACACACACACACACAACCAACCTTCCTCATCCAGCACCAGTCACTTTTCTGCCATCTCCGCTGAACACCGGTTATCTAGGCCCTTTTTGTTTTTTTGTTGTTGTTTGATGTATATATGTCACACTGTAGGACCTCGAGAAACGATATTTCGAGATTTTTGGATGTACAACATGTAGAATTCTTGACAATAAAGCTGACTTTGACTTTGACATTTAAAAACGAGTAATAATTTAGCTAAGGCAGCCTTTAAA